TATTAAACAGTTTACAAGCATGAAAACTTCCAAATCAACTGTTGTTATTGTTATGAACAGCCTCGTGGTGCTTCGGAGCTCATTAACTGTTTAATAATTGTAAACAAAGCTGCCAAAGATTGAGAAAAGATGTACAGGTTCGTTAGCACTTGCGTAACTGCTTTGTGAATCTGGCCCTAGGCTTTTATAAGCCTCCAGAGGTTAACAGGTCAGACGACTAATACTTAACCAAGTATAAACCTTTAGATATGTACGAAACCCAACGGTAGTTATTCAGACTCCGCTCAGCAGTGATGCAATATCCGCTCAGCAGTGATGCAATATCCGCTCAGCAGTGATGCAATATCCGCTCAGCAGTGATGCAATATCCGCTCAGCAGTGATGCAATACTCGCTCAGCAGTGATGCAATATCCGCTCAGCAGTGATGCAATATCCACTCAGCAGTGACGCAATACTCGCTCAGCAGTGATGCAATACCCGCTCAGCAGTGACGCAATACCCGCTCAGCAGTGATACAATACCCGCTCAGCAGTGACGCAATACCCGCTCAGCAGTGATACAATACCCGCTCAGCAGTGATACAATACCCGCTCAGCAGTGATACAATACGCGCTCAGCAGTGATACAATACCCGCTCAGCAGTGACGCAATACCCGCTCAGCAGTGATACAATACCCGCTCAGCAGTGATACAATACCCGCTCAGCAGTGACGCAATATCCGCTCAGCAGTGATACAATACCCGCTCAGCAGTGACGCAATACCCGCTCAGCAGTGATACAATACCCGCTCAGCAGTGATGCCTCACATGTTATTGTGTCTGTGAGAAAACATTACCATTACTAACATTCAGTGTTCGCTGCCTTTATATCATCAATTATAACTTGGTTGGTCCCATCTTATAAGGAGGCTTAGCGAATCTTTCGCATTGGTTTTACTTATTATATAGGAACAAAAAGACTTCAGATGCTTCTTAAAGTTTTGGGAATTTTGTATTAAAATAATTAAATTTATAACATAATTATAAATTATGTTATTATTATGGGCATTAAATTTGTAACATAATTCCTTTTGCCTGATCTGATTTCCTCAGTAACTGAATTTAATGCTCTTCTGCATAGTTAATAATTTGTGATTCTTGATGGATTTATACTTCTTCCAAAGGTTTGGTTTTAGACTTTTTTTTTTTTTGTCATTGCATGCAGCTATTTTCACGTTGCCTTCTCCTTATTGGTGAATATTTTTGAACAAGTTGAGGGATGAACTCTGTGAAATTTAACCCCATGAAGATTCCACGTCTTGATCTGCAATCAACTCCCTCCAGGAGGTATTTTGTAATTCCTGTCTCATTCTATGATAGTCTCCTTGAAGGTAAGAAAGTCATCGTTCTCGGTAAGGTAAGAAAGTATCTTACTTTCCTAAGAAAGTCTCTTACGTTCTCGAAGGTAAGCCATCGTTCTAGACCTTTATATGGGTTTTGATAATTGTATTACATCTTAGAATATTGTGGTCACATGATATGGCGAACTTCTTCACTACCTGTGTTTGATAAATCATGCTCTCTTCTGATGGCACAAGGTCTAGAATGCTATGACCTCGGGTGGCCTCTGTCGCATGCTGTACGAGAAAGAAGTCTTGAATCAGGTCAAAACATTGCTCTCCTTCTACTTGCAATGTTATAAGAAGATATTTAACTCATTTATAATTTTCCTTTCGTTAAAAGTGCCTCCGTAATATCCTTAATAAAGATTCCAGTTAGCAAGGAATCACCACAGTTTCCTTCACAGCTGAGGCTAGGATATTGACACTACACGTAAGTCGTCTGGTTTTGGGCTTAAGACTCTGGAGAGATATTTAGAACACGATTGCTAACTGGTCCACGAGGAAGTACACTTTAGTCTCAAACATTGTCCAGGTGTATAGTAGGGTCTCAGAGTGAAACGCACAGAGACGGATCAAGTTTTCAATGTAAATGTTCTTGAAATTGATTTGGTATTGGGATTAAGTTGCTGACTGACAGTTGCTTGACTGTTGACAGCTGCTGACTGACAGTTGCTTGACTGTTGACAGTTGCTGACTGACCAACCAAGAATAATACTTGGGCCTTGAACACACTCCAGCGTTTAATTATACTCTGTATATACTCAAAGAAACGAGATACGCCTTCCGGTGTATACATCCCATCCAAACTTGATATGAGTTGGTGTTGGGCCTTAATGTCTATCAACCCTTGGAAACTTAAAAAAGGCCACTACAAAAGTTTACTGATCAACCAGTAAATATACTTTAGCACTGAGCAGGCTAGCACTTAAGTAATCTCTCAAGTGAATCTCCATTGAGATGCAGGTGATACTTCTATATGTATATATCCTCTGTGATATACTGGATATCAAGTACAAAATAAGTTTATTAAACATTTCTGCAGTCTTCCGCTCGTCGTGAGATAGTTTATATAATTAATTAAAAAATTCTTCAAGATTTCGTAATAGGTATGGCACCTACTAATGACAAACACACACATTATATATATACATATATATATATATACATATACATATATATATATATACATATACATATATATATATATACATATACATATATATATATATATATATATATATATATATATATATATATATATATATATGTCGTACCTAATAGCCAGAACGCACTTGTCAGCCTACTATGCAAGGCCCGATTTGCCTAATAAGCCAAGTTTTCCTGAATTAATATATTTTCTCTAATTTTTTTCTTATGAAATGATAAAGATACCCATTTCATTATGTATGGGGTCAATTTTTTTTTATTGGAGTTAAAATTAACGTAGATATATGACCAAACCTAACCAACCCTACCTAACCTAACCTAACCTATCTTTATAGGTTAGGTAGCCGAAAAAGTTAGGTTAGGTTAGGTTAGGTAGGTTAGGTAGTCGAAAAACAATTAATTCATGAAAACTTGGCTTATTAGGCAAATTGGGCCTTGCATAGTAGGCTGATAAGTGAGTTCTGGCTACTAGGTACGACATATATATATATATATATATATATATATATATATATATATATATATATATATATATATATATATATATATATATATATATATATATGTCGTACCTAGTAGCCAGAACGCACTTCTCAGCCTACTATGCAATGCCCGATTTGCCTAATAAGTCAAGTTTTCATGAATTAATGTTTTTTCGACTACCTAACTTTTCCATGAAAACTTGGCTTATTAGGCAAATCGGGCCTTGCATAGTAGGCTGAAAAGTGCGTTCTGGCTACTAGGAACGAGAGAGAGAGAGAGAGAGAGAGAGAGAGAGAGAGAGAGAGAGAGAGAGAGAGAGAGAGAGAGAGAGAGAGAGAGAGAGAGAGAGAGACTGATAAATGTGTTACACCTATGTATATTGCTCCAAATATTATGAATGTACATTGTTAACTTTAAAAAAAAAATTAACAATTACCAATTCGTATTTTGATATGTTCAATTTTTTTATCTCTAGTCACCTATCCAGCCTTTTATGATCTGTGTTTATCATATTTATAAATTAATTTTTAATTCATAATAAAATATAAATATTAATATTAAAGAATATTTAGCCTTATAATAAATAGTTTTTCAAAAATTAATTAAACATCTTCAAGTGCCGTGAAAATGGTGTTTTACAGTGCGAGTAATGAATATTCTTGCCTAATATCTATTCTAGTATATACAAAACTCAGAAAGTGCTCATAAACCACAGAAAATGATCAAATATCAACAAAAATATCTTTAATTAAGCAAGAAATTGAAAAAATTACCAGATGTAAATATTAATAGAAAATGGGTGTAACAAATAGGGGAGACAATTGTCGTTCCTCTTGGGAACAGAGCAGGGGTGTTGGACGCAGTCGAAAGCTGTAGTTGTAGTATAGGATGTCGCCTTACTAGGACGCGCAGTCGTAGGATCTAGGAATGTAGGATATGGATGTAGAATTGGGGCGTGACCGGTAAGGGAGGAAGGGGGGGGGGGGTTACATTTAACACCTCTTTGTGTGTGGAAGGAGACGTGGGCGCTTTACTGTGTGTGTGTGTGCGCTCCTATCTTATTGAATTTGATTTTAATAATGTTTATTTTATTAGTTTTGTACTATCTCTCTAACGGGCTATAACCCCATTCTATCTATCTGCTCACTACCCATACGCTAACAGAGCTGTTCCTAACATTGAATTACAGCGATGTTGGTAACATGTGAGCGAGTCTTGTTCCTCGTGAGTTTCTATCCATGCCCCGTGTTCTATAATTTGTCCCGTGTCATGATTATCGTCCTCGGTTCAATCTCTGGCGGAAACATTTCTCTTGTCCGTGTCAGACAGATGTTCCGGTTCCACTCTGAAGACCTCTTAACATTGAAGACCTCTTAACACTGAAGACCTAATAACTTTTAAGACCGTTTAACTCTTCAAACCTTTTCTATCTTTTGTTGTGTAATAATCTTGATTGATCCTTAACTTTGGAAGCTACGTTGTTCACATATTGTGTCCGTTACTCTTCTCAAAGTGAACTTCCTCCTCTTAAGCCCTCCTTTTTCTCTCTATTATCCTCGTTTTCCAATCACTTCTTCCACCTGATGCCTCTGTTCACTTGGCAGTAACATGGGTACATGGGATTTAGACAACGGTTGTGGGGGTTGCTTCCTGGGTAAAGATCATTTGTTAGTGAAGCCCATAGATCATTCCATATGATAGAATGATCATAAAGATCATTCTGAGAGAAGATCTTATCTCACGTTCAAGGAGCACCACAGCCTCTTGACTTAGTCGTCTCCTGGGCCTGTTGCGTCAGAAAGTTGCTCTCTGTGGCCTCAACTAGTTTAGTTCTCCATGTCTTTTCACTCCTAAGGGAATTTCAGGTGTGTGTGTGCGTGTGCGTGTGCGTGTGTGTGTGTGTGTGTGTGTGTGTGTGTGTGTGTGTGTGTGTGTGTGTGTGTGTGTGTGTGTGTGTGTGCGTGCGTGTGTGTGTGTGTGTGTGTGTGTGCGTGCGTGTGCGTGTGTGTGTGTGTGCGTGTGTGTGCGTGTGTGTGCGTGTGTGTGTGTGTGCGTGTGTGTGTGTGTGGCTACACTCTCTCCACCCCGTGATCTCTGGCTCTCCATGTAAACCTGGAATCTATCGCGTCCCTTCTCCACACGCCCTCTGTGGGCGTCATGACGGGGGTGTGATCATGGGCGGCTGGGTGGTGGACGATGCGTGAGCCGTCCACGAGGGTGGCCACAAGGTGGGTGTGGGCGGGGGGTGAGGGCCATGTAGCTGCTAGATTGGGGGTGGAAGTGGAAGCGGGGAGGAGGAGGGGTGAGGGCGGGTCGGCCAAGCAGGGTGGGGATGAGGGCGTGGCAGCAGTGAGGGGCAAAGAGCGTGGGCGGCAGGGCCCTGAAACCTCCAGGGACAGTGAGGCACCCAAAGGGCGCCGCCCACGGGGTCGGGAGGAGCAATAGCGAGTGTGGGCGGTGGGGTGACGCGTGGGCGGGCAGTAGTGTGGAGAAGGGCGTGGGCTGTGGGGTGGGGGCGGCGAGGCAGCTCCAGGCAGTTGACTGATCTTGTGCAACACATCCCTCAGCTCCCTGCTGGCGGGCGAGGGCGGCAGCGTGGGCGAGGTGGGAACCGGAGGTGAAGGGGGCGACGTAGCTGGCAGACTGGAGACATCTGAGGCGTGTGGACCCACTGAGGAGGCCGGTGAAGCCAGCGCCAGCACACACCCCGGGGACCAGACTCGACACCCGCGGGGCTCGCTCTGGGCGTGTGGACACTCAGGTTAGTACCCTACACTTCCGCACTCACACTACCTCACTCACACTACCTCACTCACACTTCCTCACTCACACTACCTCACTCACACTTCCTCACTTACACTACCTCCCTCACACTACCTCACTCACACTACCTCCCTCACACTACCTCACTCACACTACCTCCCTCACACTACCTCACTCACACTACCTCCCTCACACTACCTCCCTCACACTACCTCACTCACACTACCTCCCTCACACTACCTCACTCACACTACCTCACTCACACTACCTCACTCACACTACCTCACTCACACTACCTCACTCACACTACCTCCCTCACACTACCTCCCTCACACTACCTCACTCACACTACCTCCCTCACACTACCTCACTCACACTACCTCCCTCACACTACCTCCCTCACACTACCTCACTCACACTACCTCCCTCACACTACCTCCCTCACACTACCTCCCTCACACTACCTCACTCACACTACCTCCCTCACACTACCTCCCTCACACTACCTCACTCACACTACCTCCCTCACACTACCTCCCTCACACTACCTCCCTCACACTACCTCACTCACACTACCTCCCTCACACTACCTCACTCACACTACCTCTCTCACACTACCTCACTCACACTACCTCACTCACACTACCTCACTCACACTACCTCACTCACACTACCTCACTCACACTACCTCACTCACACTACCTCCCTCACACTTCCTCACTCACACTACCTCACTCACACTACCTCACTCACACTTCCTCACTCACACTACCTCACTCACACTACCTCACTCACACTACCTCACTCACACTACCTCACTCACACTACCTCCCTCACACTTCCTCACTCACACTACCTCACTCACACTACCTCACTCACACTACCTCTCTCACACTACCTCACTCACACTACCTCACTCACACTACCTCACTCACACTACCTCACTCACACTACCTCTCTCACACTACCTCCCTCACACTACCTCACTCACACTACCTCCCTCACACTACCTCCCTCACACTACCTCCCTCACACTACCTCCCTCACACTACCTCACTCACACTACCTCCCTCACACTACCTCCCTCACACTACCTCACTCACACTACCTCCCTCACACTACCTCCCTCACACTACCTCCCTCACACTACCTCACTCACACTACCTCCCTCACACTACCTCACTCACACTACCTCTCTCACACTACCTCACTCACACTACCTCACTCACACTACCTCACTCACACTACCTCACTCACACTACCTCACTCACACTACCTCCCTCACACTTCCTCACTCACACTACCTCACTCACACTTCCTCACTCACACTACCTCACTCACACTACCTCACTCACACTACCTCACTCACACTACCTCACTCACACTACCTCCCTCACACTTCCTCACTCACACTACCTCACTCACACTACCTCACTCACACTACCTCTCTCACACTACCTCACTCACACTACCTCACTCACACTACCTCACTCACACTACCTCACTCACACTACCTCCCTCACACTACCTCCCTCACACTACCTCACTCACACTACCTCACTCACACTACCTCCCTCACACTACCTCCCTCACACTACCTCACTCACACTACCTCACTCACACTACCTCACTCACACTACCTCACTCACACTACCTCACTCACACTACCTCACTAGGTACAACTTCTTAAGACACAATAACTGAAAACTGTGGTTATCATGTACTGACAGTGTCACCACCTTCACTATTTTCACCTACACTATCCCCCACCTACACTAACCCCCACCTACACTCCTTAATACACTTCCCTACCTATGCCACCAGACTAGTCCTCGAGCTGAGAGGTATGATTTATTAGGAAAGAGAACTGGAATTAAATCTCACGTCACTGGAAGACAGAAGAATTAGGGGAGATATGATTACTATCTACAAAATTCTCAGCGGAATTGACTAGATAAAGGCAAACTATGCACACGAAAGGGGGGGGGAACAGGTGGATCCTTAGAACCCAAATGAGCCACAGAGACGTTAAAACAAAGTTGCTTCAGTCTTGGAGTAGCTAACAAATGGAATGCATTAGGCAGTGATGTGGTGGAGGCTGACTCCAAACACAGTTTCAAATGTAGATATGATAGAGCCCAGTAGGCTCAGGAACCTGTACACCAGTTGATTGACGGTTAAGAGGCGGGAATAAAGAGCCGAAACTCTAGTGTACATTCATATATAAGTATACACCCTATGTACACCTCTGAACACACACTAACCCCCCCCTCCATCCCAGCACCTAACGTACACTAGGCTACACCCCGAACGACTGATAGTAAAATTCCACATGTTCACAACTAACGAACTACACACTACTGTCAATGTACACCACTCACACTATCCACTTTATGCGGTGTACCCTCAGCATCTGATGTACACTCCTGACCTATGAAGTCTCTGGTATACTCAACTTGTTACAGGAGTACATTAATTATCAGACTATTTGAGGCTTCGTAATTACTCACACAGTTGTTCATCAGCTGTACACAAATTGTACAGTTATCCACCTGCTGTAAACCTAGATATGAGTATACATCATTATTTACACCAAGATATATAACTATACACCCTACGTAAACGTAAAAATATAACTATGTACCCTATGTACACCTAGATATATATATATATGTATACACCCCTATATTATTGTGTATTAATCTAATCATTGTTTATTGTGTCAAAATTTCTTACAATGTACCTATAATTTTTTTTGTCAATTTTACTGTAAATTATCTACTTAAAGTTATCTGTTAGTTTAAGGCATTGCCCGAAACGCTATGCCTGCTAGAGGCATAGCGTGATGTTGATTTTACAAGAATGTAAAATCAACATCATTTCTATGTACTCTCTTAACCCCCCAATGTACCAATGTAAATATACAAGTATACACAGTATAATACACCTAATCACCTGTAAAGCGGGTCCGTAGGTGTAGCCAGAACTCTGTGATCCCTCCGGAGTTGACACCGAGCCTGTAACAGAGGGAAGGTGTTATCATCACACAGGAGGGGGTTATCACCAGAGAGGGAGGGGGTTATCACCAGAGAGGGAGGGTGTTATCACCAGAGAGGGAGGGTGTTATCACCAGAGAGGGAGGGTGGTATCACCAGAGAGGGAGGGTGCTATCACCAGAGAGGGAGGGTGTTATCACCAGAGAGGGAGGGTGTTAACACCAGAGAGGGAGGGTGTTATCACCAGAGAGGGAGGGTGTTATCACCAGAGAGGGAGGGTGCTATCACCAGAGAGGGAGGGTGTTATCACCAGAGAGGGAGGGTGTTATCACCAGAGAGGGAGGGTGTTATCACCAGAGAGGGAGGGTGTTATCACCAGAGAGGGAGGGTGTTATCACCAGAGAGGGAGGGTGTTATCACCAGAGAGGGAGGGTGTTATCACCAGAGAGGGAGGGTGTTATCACCAGAGAGGGAGGGTGTTATCACCAGAGAGGGAGGGTGTTATCACCAGAGAGGGAGGGTGCTATCACCAGAGAGGGAGGGTGTTATCACCAGAGAGGGAGGGTGTTATCACCAGAGAGGGAGGGTGTTATCACCAGAGAGGGAGGGTGTTATCACCAGAGAGGGAGGGTGTTACCACCAGAGAGGGAGGGGTGTTATCACCAGAGAGGGAGGGTGCTATCAGCACAAAGGAGGGAGTTCTCATCAGAGAGAGGGTGTTATCACCACACAGGAAGGGGTTATCGCCAGAAAGGGAGGGGTTATCACCAGAAAGGGAGGGGGTTATCACCTCACAGGAAGCTCGGGTGTTCTCTCCACAGAGGAAGCATGTTATCACAATAAAGGTGGGGGTGTTATCACTACACAGCGGGAGAGGGTGATATTTTCAGAGGGAGCGTGTTATCACTACATAAGGGAGGGGTGATATTTCCATAAATAAAGGGTGTTATCACAAAGAAGGTCATTGTCTTACGACAAGAAACATATGCAGATGTACCTAATGTATTACTAAAAAAAATGACAAGCAAGAAAGGTTGTTGTCTTATTACAACGAAGAAAAGTTGTTGTCATGTCCCAACAAAGGAAGAATACTATCTTATCACAAGAAAGGTGGGTAGCTGTCTTCACATTAGAGGAAGAGTGTGAGTTGTGTAAACGCCTATCGAAAACACTTCGCTATATCAGTTCAAGCTTCGTTCTAGTTACTCTACAAACTTCGTTCTAGGTACCAGACAAGTCAAATATTTATCATATTCTCAAGCATAACCACAAGAAACATATTTAGCTTCGGCACTGGAAATACACAGAGTAACTTTAACTATCCCGTTAAGTGTTCAGTCAACACATATATACAAAATATCCATTGTCTTTCTAAGGCACTACGGGCTCACCATAGCCCGTGTTACTTGAAACTTTTTGTTCCAGGTAGCGAATCTTTAACAACAACATTGTCTTTCTCAAACCTCTGATAATACATCTCTTCTATCCAAGACTCTTGTTATACACCAGAGAGCACAAGCAGTCACATGTACTGTAGTTACAACTAGCTAAACGCATTGTGATGCAGTGATTTTTCCTCAGACTATTCTCGTTCAAGCTGTCCGATACATAATGCAAGTAAAACTACTAAAACTTTACTTATCATGGGACCCAAAATTCGGTCAGTTTTCTCAAGTGTCCAGTCACACCAACGACCCCAGGTGTAAAGTAGAGGAGTATGCAAGAAACCATTAGAAAATCTAATGCCAGCCAATTTATTTAGTAAATTCACACTGACCTTCATTTATTACTCCTATTCCATACTGTAAAAATTCTGTGTAGAAAATTGCTACTCCACAGCACACTCAACTTTCAGGCGACTTTAAATAAGAAATAAACGAGTTTTCCCATGAATGGTAAATATGTAGATGGTTTTCTATAAAGATGGGATATCGATAGCCTGTATTTAGTACTGTAGATAATAAACTCCGTCTTCAGTACTGTGGCCAAGATAATCTATCTTCAGTACTGTGGATAATATAGTCTGTTGTCTGCAATACCGTGGATAAAACAGTTTGTCGTTTGCAGTCATGTGGATAAAAAAGTCTGTCGTCTGCAGTCCTGTGGATAAAATGATCTGTCGTCTGCAGTCGGATAAAATTGTCTGCCGTTTTCAGTACT